AACCCCCCCCCCCCCCAAAAAAAAATTGTCTTATGGAAAATGCCATTGTTCCATTTTAATTCTGCTTTAGATAGGAAGGATTTTAAAATTGCAGATACTCCCCTAAAATGAAAAATCTACTTCTCACACAACACAAGTAACTTTTAGGGTTAGGCTGAGCCACTCAATTCTCTTGTTTGCAACTTAAAGCAAACTTGACCTTTTAAAAACCATTGTGTCCCACATCCTCTATGAAACCATTGTCTGGCTAATTGAATATTATGGAAATATGTTTGAATTTGAACTCACAGCAAGGTGGCAGCATGAGAACAGTTGAACAATTACTACTTTACTGTGACTTATTCTGAAAAATAACTGGTTTTATACTTCATTAATATTTTAAACAGTAAGGTTTCCAAATTAGCAAAATTAATTTTTAGTAAGTGTTTCCCAGAGATAAGTACCCTGTGTTATATTTTAATATTTACCTATGGCCAAATCTAGCTGCTATAGTGGGAATACTGGGGGACAACCCAGGCAAAACTCATGATGATCTGCTATGGGTTTTGTCTTCAATTGTCTGAAAGTTTTTGGGGGTTTTTCTATTACAGGGTCTCCTTCAAAATGTTAATTTAATATTTGACACTTCATTAGAAGAGGTTCTACGTAAAAAAGGATGCCAGAAGAGCCAGACAAGTAAGAATCTTTTTTCTCACTATCATTTTTCAAGTGAATCTGTAAATAAGGAATTACCAGAGTTATATATTACCCCCCGACTAAGGCATAGCTCCAATTGAGCTAATGGAAATTGTGCTTGTGGCAGAGGCAGAATGTGTCTCAAAAAGCTTTGGAATTTCTCATAATCTTCTTCCGAATATTGTTTAGAAGTGACAACAAAAGTAATCACTGTATAATTTGCATGGTGCTGAAAACATGATAAAAATATCACTCACTCACATCAACCTGACCTTTTATTTTTGCTGCTAGATTAAGAATCTTGGAGTCTTTAAATTATCAATAAGAAGACAAAATAACTCATCTATGTATACTTTATCAGTGAACAAAGGAATGTTTTTTAGTGATCAGAGCACAAAGTTGGGAATCATCTCTCTGGATTCTGAACTTGATTCATTGTGTGATATGAACATGTCTTCAAGCCTTAAGGATGTGAAATCTTTTGGTAGTAAATGTATTAGAGACATATTGAAAATGGGAGAGGGTATGGACTGACTGAATCTTAGGAGGTTTAAAAAGAATAACCTAATAAGTGAAAAAAATATGAAAGGTATTTCTGATAGCTTGCCACATAATTTTGATCAGTATTTTTCCTAAAGACATCATTTGGAGTCTTGTGTATGGGGAGGCCACCATTTTGGGACCCTCAAAATGGAAACAATTAAAGTGCATGTCAAGTCTAGTTTAGGTCTCACCCTGACTGTCATGAGAAGTTTTTTTGTACCTGGCTCTACTTGCAGAAATTTTTACTGGCATGAGCTCAATCAAGAAACTTTGGGTAGTAATTCTGTACAAGGGCAGGGAATGTGGTTTTGCAGTTACTGTATGGGTGAGGCAGCTAGATTTTGGATTTATTTCTGTTCTCTGACACTGGAAATCACATGCATTCCACACACTTGAACCTTGAACTTTGACTTTAAAGAAATCAATTAAATCTACCGTGTTTCCATTTTGCCTTTTGTACAAAGAAAAAAATAAATGGCTGATCATGGCTCTTGTCCTCTTTGCAGGGTTATTAGGGAATGAATATACTTAAGATGCTTTGAGGTGAAAAGTTGATATAAACCAGATGTGTTATACTAAACTTTAATACTAATTCCTGTTTAAAACTATTTCAAATAAAATTAGTGAGAAATTACAAAAACACTATTAGTATGCATACAACAGGAGCTGAGATGCTATGATAATGGGTGCTTTAGAAATACATTGAATGGATAGATGGGAATTTAACTTTAGCCAATCTTAGCATGAAGGCATATCTTCATCCTGTGACACATGTTGATTAAGAAGATTCTTGTGCTCAGGTTTGGCAGGAACACTACCAGATGGGTCATAGCCATACTTCCCACTATTTCAGTATGGAAAGAGGGAGAAGAAAAGGAAGGAAATACATTGCTAATTCTTTCCACTGTGAATAGAGAATAACTCAAAACCCATGATCTTCTTTTTTATCCCTCCTGTGTTAGTAGAAGGACATGTATAAGTAGAAGAGCAAGTGTAAGGACATGCAAAACTTTTTTAGTTGAATGGCATTGCACTTTCAGAGTAAAGCAGAACAGTGGCTTCAAGGATGGCACAGTTCAGGTAGCCCAACTCATTCATTAGCAGAGTAACCTTCTTAAATAGAAGACGCAGGTGGAGACCTAGGGTCATCTTAGACAATCAGATCCACAAAGTAGAGCTCTCAATCCTGTCATGAATTACTTAAGAGACTGAAAACATGTCTTTGTTTGGTTGAGGATATACTAGTATTGAGCCAATTGGACCAACTGAAGGAAGATCTCTGGATCTTCTACATTTGTATGGGAAGAGTACCAAAAAGGAAAATATTTGACTAAAATGGATTAGATACTAACAAAAAACATGCAGCCATATTTTTTCTCTACTACTGTAAAGAGAAATCATTTGGGAACCCAAGGGAAAATACTAGCAGTAAGGCATGATGAGAGATCATTTTTGATAGAGCAGCTTTCAACTTCCAGTAGCTGCAGCTGTTGAAGCATTAGAGAAATGTTACATGCATCACAGCAGTGTCATGGCCCTGTCTATGTAGCTACACAGCGACAGCTGAAAAACCATGGGCAATACACTGGTCACACATAAGAGATCCTTCTTCTCTTAATTGATTCCTTGGCAGTTCAGGTGAGGCACCTAAGCTAACACATGCCAGATATTACTGTGAGCAGAGTGGGAGGTAGGACATTGTCAGTAAAGTGCCCAAATTCTGAGATTCACTATTGCAGTTTCTCTGAAAGAGCCCTGTATTTGCTGACTTTTGGGTCATATATATAAGCCCTTTCAGAGAGGGTAGGCTGCCTAGAGAGATGATATAAGAGGGAGTTAATAGGTTTGTGGATGGGAAAGCATCACTATAATGTAATCATTACAAGTGCTTTAAAATTATTTATACATCTGCACTGAATTTTGGAGAGGCATGTTAAAAAAATAATAAAAGGTCTGGCTAAACAATATCTTTATTGTGGTATAACTTACACTGTTTTTGTAAGGAGCCTTATGGACAGGAATGAAGCTATCTGGGGATAGCCATACTGGGTGTTTTTATAGCATTTTGCCACTAGGAGGCAAGGGAAGAGAAGTAGCTTGTTTGCTTAGAGCAAATGGCTACTCTTGGGTAAGTTGCAGACAGGTGACATACACCAGTGTAATTTGTACAAATGTAGTTTTTTCTTGGGTAATTTTACACCAGATTTGAGTAGGCAGCACCAGTGTAGATCTGTACATTATCTACCTGCTCCTTTTGTATACTGGCGTAAATACTGATTACACGGGTGTAAATGTGTCAATTGTCCAGGCAAATATTTTTCCATCCTACTGAGTGCCAGATCAGCAGAATGAGCTTTTTGTTTGTCAAGGGATGCGTGTTTTTGTTCTAATGACAATATTTTCATTTTCAACACTTTTTCTTTTCAAAGCATATCATTCTAGCCCTTAAAAATTAGCAGGAAGCCAGCAACAGAGCACTGAGTAGTCCTGAGGTATCTTCTTTCAATGATTGCCAAGTGCTGGTAGGGAGTATGGATTTAATGCTTCTAGCATAGTTTAGGATTGCACTCCCTGTTGAGACTACAGATTTAATAATGTCCTTAAACTGTTCAGGTCAAGGCAGAATGTGTTAGCTTAAAAATGTGAAATTAATGATCTGAAAAATGTTATATGGGGAATCATTGAAGCTTAATGTTTTACATAGTAATAAAATAATAAAAGAAGGCAACTTAAATAAACAGAGTCCCACCATAGATGACTCTGACACACTGGGCTCCTAAAGATGTGCGGGGAGCCTGCTCCAATGTGCTGGAAATCCAGCATGTCGGAGCAGAGCTCAGAAATTGACACTCTCTGGCAGCCATCTGCGTCACGTGTGTCAGCATCCCCATGTGTCCCTGCATGAAAAAAATGGTGGTGGGGCACTTTGAAATAAAACACATTCAATGAGCTTTGGTTCAAAGCTCCTGTCTCCATTTTTGCAGCGCAGGGATGCATGGGGATGCTGATACATGTGATGCGTGGGTGCTTTTTTCTGTCCTAGAAACTAAGATAGCTAATTATTTAAGCTTTGGAATATGGGAATCTTTTCAATATAGACTTTGGCAAGCAGCAGGTAATTAGTTAACTATAAGCCACATTGATCCAATCCAATTAACACAAGTTAAATGAATAATAATTTAACAGTTAATAGCTTAGTTCATTATTATTTTAGTTTTTAAACTTTTGTTTGTATAAGGAGGCAGTGTAGGAGTCTGCTCCCACTAACATTGCTTGTACATTGTCTAAGTCAATCCTCCAAAGTTCTAAGACCTTTCACAATGTGTGGCTATCCAGATGACAAGGATGAGTGGTGTTGATACATATGTTATATTGCACCAAGAGTTGTGCTTATTTCTCTTCTGTAATAGCCAATGATTACTAAAAAATATTGGCAGGTTGGTGCCAGGCCAATGCTGTCCCTATCCATTCAAGAGATAAATGAAAATGTGGTATTTCAAAGAGGCTGCAAAACCTGCCCTAGCGAGGAAACCAAGCATGCCTTTGGCATGGGACTTGGTTGCCTCTGTGTCCCTCCATGATGGGGGAGTTGTGTTGGTGCTAAGAGGTGTTTGGTTCTGTGTTTATTCCCAGGTACAAAGAGGCCACTAGAAGCCTGTTACCAACTGGCTGAATTTAGAAAAAGCATTTACCTATAATGCACAGGGCTGATCAGGTTCTTGCTAGTTACAGAAGTAGGAGCCAGGGTAAGAAAGTGGCTTAAAACATCTTGGCCCCTATTTCACTTTTATCTGGGCTCAGTAGTAGATAACTTAGCTGAAAAACTGTATGGAAAATTTCTGTTATAAAATTTTGTTGAAAAATGCCAGCTCATTGAACTCATCATGTTCTGTTTAGAAGATCCCAACTTCAGTGAACTTTCATCAAACCCAAAGCATGATTCTAATATAAACCTTTTTGAATTTCCAGCTTGTTTGTCCTGGGGTTAGGGATGCTGGAAATTGTGGGTCGTTTGTCCTGGGACAGTCGACTGATCAGTCCATTCCAGAGCTAGAAAGTCTGGGAACATTGTGCAGGTACTCAGTGAAATTCACATCTTTGTCAAATTCATTGCTGATATTAGCAGTGAAACTCATGAGACTACCATTTTAACTGAGCAGCTGCAGGGTCTACGGATTTTCTGGTTCATCAGACATTTAAAAAACATCTAAATTTACTCAAAGCTGGACACACTCTTTTTTTAGCTAGACCCAGTTAGCTGATATTTTTTTGTGTCAATATCTGCCATGGAATAGAAGGAAGAGTAGTCCTTTTTCAATGACCCGACTTGAAAGGATCTTCTGTGTTCATATGGTGAACATGATATTGCATGAAACATCTGAAAACTTCTATGGCTATGGAGGAGCATAATACAGATATACATATACTTTCATGATATTATATGTTACTATATTTGCTTCATAAATTAATTATTTATACTGCCAATAGCGCTTTTAAATGATGGCTATATAAGACAAAGCTGGGCTGTTAGTTTTGAAAGGGAAAGTCTATAATTAGAACCTGCTGACATCCAACCCCCTGATTTTATTTTTCAGTATAATTTAGCATGCAGCCGTTCCAAAGCTGATGCAGTTAAACTCTACCTTTGGTGCCAATCTATGATTCCAACAGTAAGCTATAATCTGTGGAAGACCATTGTATACACAACTGTTCTTTGTTCTCTTCCTCCCTACAGTTGAAGTGAACACCATCAATGAGAGTACTGAGATCCTTCACCTCAGCCCTGCTGTCACAACTGAGTACGTTGGTGAAAAAACAGAGAAGAAGGCTGAGTTCTGTGATCGTTCCTGTGAAGAGCTGGGGACTATGTTCACTGAGCTCACTGGGTTGCGTGTTGTTGTTAACAACTTAGTTGATAACCTTCAGAAAGTGGTAGGTGCCCTCTGGACTTAAGAATCAAAAGATATATAATACATTTTTTTAAAAATGCTGTCCCCCCTCTCGGTTTCTATGACTTGGGTTGAACATATTGATGGATAGAACATTAGGCATGTTGGGAGGTGATTATACACATACACACACATGCTGGATTCAATTGGACTCAATGCATGTACGGCCTACATTATGAAAATGCCTATTGATGACTTTGGATGCTGTACTAGGACACTTACTGATTTTGATTTCCATGGGGTGGATACAGGGACAGTCCCAAAATATAAGGCCTATTAAAGTTTTCTGAGGTTTGGCAGCCAAGAGTTGAACACAAACTGCTAGTCAAATTTGGCCATAAGTATCATGTATAGGTATATGTGTGTATATATAATATGTGTGTAGTGTGTGTGTGTGTGTGTGTGTGTGTGTGTATAGTGTGTGTGTGTGTATACACACACACTAATCCCTGTTTAAACTACTTCAAATAAAATTAGTGAGAAATTACAATAATGTATATATACAATGTCTATACTACTCACCATACCTCAGAAGTAAGTGGAAGTATCTGATTTTTACCTTTCACTATTGCAGTAAGTTAATGTGTGGGTGCTTAAAATCTACTTCCTTCCTTCCTAGTTCTGAACTAAGTTCATACTTTCTAAACACAGCTTTCATAACTTACTGCATATCCCAAGAGTGGAATCATTTTCCCTGCTAGATGATGAAATATATTTTTTTTAAAAAAAAGCCATTGAGAGCAGATTATATTTAAAGCTTTCTAACCACACTTATGATATTACCTGAAAGAACTGTGGAATAGCACAATAACATTTTATTATTCCTTTTTCCTAATGCATAGGAATGCATAAAAGTGTACTTTTTCAATCATAACTTGAACCAGATCAAAAGTTTCTCTTTTTAAGCACCTTGGATAAAAATACACCTATCACATTGTTTGCTCATTTAATGTTTTAGTCTGAGGAGAACCAAATCATGTGGGAATTGATTGGACCTAACAAAACTCTCAAGAACCAATCAGTCTGCTGGCAGGATGGCCGCGTGTTTGCAGATAATGAAATCTGGACGGTGGATAGCTGTACCAAATGTACTTGCCAGGTAAGACTTTGGAAGCATTTCTCCCTCTTTGCAAAATGTTAAGTATATTGAATCCAGCTTGGCTACTCAGTCCTGTAGAAGGCAGGGTAGATTTACACCTTATACACTAACCAAAGTAGGTTTATTTATTTATATATATATATATATATATATATATATATATAGCACAAGCTTTTGTGAGATGAAGCTCACTTCATCAGATGCTGTGACAGGATGTTCAGAAAGTAGAGTATGAATCTAGCATCCATTCTGAGCCTGATCTAATAGGATCCCCCATTGTCTTAAATACATTTTGGATCAGGGTCTTACTTCTCATGAACAAAAGAGCAATGTTATACTGATAGTCCTGTTGGATGCAAAATCTTCCCTTTGATAAAAGATCCAACTTAAATACAATCTTTTTGGTCTTTTAAACTGAAGCCAAGTGAGAACATCTTCAAAGTTTTGTTTTTTTCTTAAAGATTTTTAATAAATTATAGACCTTCCATAGGGATTGGAATTTTCCCAGAACATATGCTTTTGTTAGTATCTGTAAATGACTACAAGCCAATATGTTGCTTTCTTTGTATGTAGAATTCTAAAATTGTGTGCCATCAAATCACCTGCCCAGCAGTGTCTTGTGCCAATCCATCATTTATTGAAGGTGAATGCTGTCCTGTCTGCTCTCAGTGTAAGTAGAAAAGTGAAGGGAAAAAGGAATCCATCAGTTGGCCTTTAAAAAAAACCTTGCTATATGTGTAGTGTTGAAAAGAAAAAGTTAAATATACCTTAGTGCAAACAAAATCATATTGTTTAAGCATCAGAATAATGGAATTTAACTACATTTCTCCTGTTTGGACTTTCTGATTTCTCCTTATGTGTTATTAGCTATCATTTCATCTCTATACAGTAGCTAGAATAGATTGTATGTCAACCATCTTCCTATAGAAAGTGCCTAGTTTCCAGAATGAAGGTTAGTTTTCTGTGTTACAATGCTATTATGGTTACAGAGGCAAGGAGTGTCACAAATTATTTCTCTCTGTTATTATGGGCCTGACAATACTTCACTCATAAGGAACAGAATGATAAAAGGATTCTTTCAAGACAGGAATTTAAATGCATAGCTAGAATTTGGAATGAGAATAGCTTCAGTAATACATTCACCCTGATCTGGACAGACCTACTGTAAAAAAATTGTGACTTTTTTCAGAAGTTTAAATCTTCTGAAATAGAACGTAAATGTCATTCTATTTAGGCCTCATGATTGATCAGATCAGATAGAGTGCCTTTGCCATTGTGCTCTTCATCACATTTTTCATTACATTATATTAAAAATGGATCCAAGCCTCAGATTCTGGATGTGGTTCCAAAGTTTGGGGGTGTCTAGAAAGAGGTGTTTGGCACATCCCAGTCCAAAGATAAAATTCTACAAGAGTGAGTCCCAGCTCTAAACGGGATATAAGATGAGGGTGCTTAGATCCAGGATTCTGATATGGGCCAATTTCAAATTGTGTTAAACAAAGTGAAGTTCTCTAACTCTTCAGGGGTAGAAATAAAAATGAAGAATCAGAACAAGAAATATAAAGAAAAAAGGGTGCGTTCTAAGAAACGGACAGGCAGAAGCAGAAATCTGATGATAAAAGCAACTGACTGTTAAGAACATTTTGCTTCTTCTGATCTGCAGCTGAAGACAGTGAAGAAGGCTGGTCTCCATGGTCAGACTGGACCAAATGCTCAGTGACATGTGGCTCAGGAACTCAGATGCGAGGCAGGTCATGTGATGTCACCAGGAGTTCTTGCACAGGTCCACACATCCAGACAAGAATGTGTAGCTTCAAAAAATGCGAGCATCGCAGTGAGTTATGACATTTATCTCTCTTTAGGAACTTCTCTCTGTTTCTTCATTTCTATGATGAAGCCAAAAGAATCATAGCTTGGGTTTCCTAGACAGACATTAATAGTCAGAATTGGATGTATTTTAATACTAATTTATGCTTTCGTACTCTGCTTCTTTTGGCATTGTTCCTCTGTTTCTCCCTTCTGTGATATTTCTCAGTTTATGTCAGTTCAGTGTGCATGTACACTGGCTAGTTTAGTCCTTATACTGTAAAGGAAAAGGCAGGGAATGACTTTGGATTTACATTACAAGCTGGCCTATTACCTTTTGTTGACATTTAGAATATATGTGGTGAATGTGGTACGGGGGGGGTGACAATTTCTGTTTTGCCATTCATCCATGGTTATCATCACAGTCTATTAGCTTAGAAATGCTTATGACAGGAGGAGCAAGGATCTATATAAAGTAGTTCAGTAAGATTCTTGTAGAGCATTTAATTGATCTGTTGTTTGCTGTCCATGCATGTGTCATATTCTGTCCACAGAACAAGTTTGTAATACTCCAGGGAACTTTTGTTTCTTGAGTAGTCTATGCAGACCTAAAGGAATATTGCTCATGATGATAATCAATAACCATCTCTGAAGACAAGTGTTTTGCTACAACTTTAAAATAATGTTATTTTTAAAGTAGCTGTTCTCTAAACAGTTACTGTAGCATGCTCTTCAATCCTGTCTTGTTTGTTAAGTTTGAATGAAAATGTTGGGCTTTCCGGCTGGGGCTGCTAACAGACATTCATTGAAAAGCTTGATGGGATCTGATCCTTGATCCCAACAACTGAGTCTCCTGTCATGCCACATGTGCATGGCTGGAGGCATGATTGTGGGATTTGGGATTAGACATCAATTGCACCCTAGTGCCAGAGTAGGGGGAGAGCCTAGAATCATGATCCTGGGTTACTCTTGCACCAGCAAGTAGCAAGCAGGGTGCCCAACGAGCCTCCACAGCTGGGAATGCCAGTCAGCTGACAAATGCTCTCATGATAAGAGCTCACCAGAGTCTTGAAGGGCTCTGCTGGGTTCCCAAGGTTGGGAATGCTGATCAGCTAATCAGCATACCAGCCACATGTTCAGTTTAAGATGAAACTGGAATGAGCCACAGAATTATTACATATATTTGTGTGATGATTTTGTGGCTTATTCCCTGTTTTATCACACCATTAATTGCTTGAATGTATGGCTGGGTTACTACTTATGACATGATTAATTAGTTAATCATGCCTTAAGTGTAATGTCTGCCAGGGGCCTGATAGTCATGGGAAAAAGATGGGATATCTGTTGCAAATGGAGAGAGTTCTCTTGCAGGGCTAGGTTCTATTATACCTTTAAATTAAATAAGACTTTCCTTATGCTGAGCCCTTTTTTCTGTCAGTACGTCAAGATGGTGGCTGGAGTCATTGGTCTCCTTGGTCTTCCTGTTCCGTGACCTGTGGAATAGGCAACATCACCCGCATCCGTCTCTGCAATTCTCCCATCCCACAGATGGGTGGGAAAAACTGTGAAGGAAAGGGCCGTGAAACAGAGAAATGTGAGAAAGTCCCATGTCCAAGTAAGTTTGCGTTTAAGCCCAAGATGAAAGTCAAACCCAAGATGGCTGCATTTTGTCTTCCAGTAACACAGCCTCTAAATTTTGATAGTCTGAGACAAAGAGTCTAACTCCTAGCCTAGAAATGGACTATAATAAACCCACTGTTTCTTTGCTCCAAGTTTTAATATCTTGGCATCAGATTCATATTACAGTATTCACAAGGAATGTGGTTTTGTGAGTAAACCAGGAGATGGGAAGTAGGAATTCAGGGTCCCACTTGTGGCCTTGGCACTGGCTCACTAAATAGTCTTTTGCAAGTCAAGTTGCTTCTTCATGTCTTACTTTATTCATAATTATTTTCTGCTTATTTACCTCATAGGGGTATTTTAAGAAGGGATGAGTGACAACAGTGTAGTTTGAGGTTTTGCAAACCTCTTAAGTTATTATTTTGCTTTAAAAATTAAGAGTTCCTTACAAGTTTAAGGAAACTTCCTTCCTGTAATTTAAAGCCATATTTTCCATGGGTGATTCATACATAACAAAAAGATAAACATGTTTTGATCTAAACGGTAGGTTGCATTATATATTAATGACAGAAGCATGAGTCACCAAAACCAGAATAGTATAAGCATATGTCCATTTTATAGTATAGATACACATTTTTATTTTTTAATTAGAACTTTTCTTTTATCATTGTTTCTTCTTTTATAGCCACTTTAGATTTGTTTTTATTTTACCCATTTCCTGCTTCATACTTCTGAACTCACTATATTTCTGTGGATTGAAAAATAGGCAAGATGAGTTACTCACCGCTGCCTGTGCAGCCCTTTTTACATAAGTGCTAAGTGTTATTTATTCACTGACATGAATGATGCATGCCTCTGGCGGCTGGTGGAGCATGGTAGTGCTGGCGGCATTAAGCGGGGAGCTCCCACAGACCCTGCCAGCACTGTCAGTGGTGGGAGGGGGGAGGGTGGTGAACATCGACCAGGGGTTGGTGACCACCCACAGATGCTGCTGGCAGTATTAGTGGTGGCCAGCGGTGATCGCTGACCATCCACAAATGCCGCTGGTGGTGTTGGGAGGGATGTGGGTGTGGGACCCTGTATGTGTGCACTCTCTACCCATTGACAGTATTTACTGACAACCAACATTATGTTTGGTACTGTACAAATCATATGGAAAAACACAGCCTCTGCTCAAAAGAAGTTACATCCTAATTCTGGTTTTATACCAATATTATTCAGGAATATGTGCTCTGAAATCAACGGATATGTACTAGCATAAAATGTAGATGGAATCAGAATAAGTCACTTATATCTGAATCAGAGGGGCAGTGCATTTGGGAGTCATAATAATGTTTGGATTGCCAAATGAAAATACAATCTTCAAGTGGTGCAAATGTTGCTTTGTTGTAGAAATATCATAGAATATAGAAAAGTTATCTCCAAATTCGGATGGAAGCAGTATAAGAGCCTTATTACATGGTAATTTTGGGCAGCTCCTGGAGCTCTTAATTCCTGGATTATCTGCACATTAACACCTTGAAGTAGTTCTAAGCACTCATTATGCAGCTCAAAGTGATGTTACTTGAGGCCAGGATTATCTCTGATCTGCACTACCCAGCTCCTGTTCCATGAAGGTGTGGCCACTCCCCACAGATGTGCCACTCAAGTTGAAGTTCTCCAGTATTTCTGGATATCTCATACCCCCAGTCATACAGCAATGATAGAAGCCTGTCCTGGCTGACCAGGCCTCTAGTGGCAATTTACAGGTACAGCTCCTAGTCCAGCCCCTGCTCAACAGGCCTCTAGTGGCAAATCCCAGCTGTGCAGATGGGGGACAGTCTGAGAAAGTTTCTAGACTAAGGGTGTGACTGATCCAAATTCCAAGCTGGCACTAATACCAATCAACATTTGTACAGCTCACAGCATAAGGTATAACAAGGCCCTAAATAGAAGGGCTTCAAATGAAGGCAAATCAAAGTTATTTGGTAGCTAAGGAAGACAATCCTAAAAAGCCATTAGTTACAGTATGCTACATCTTCAACTGACAAACAAAAAATTTACAGCATCAAGCATGGGTGACTGGTGCTTCCTGAGTCTGGGGGGGGCACTAAATTGCCAAACGGGGAGGGGGGGCTCCCCCAGCGTCCGATTGCCGAGCCAGCAGTGAAACTGGAAGTGCACTTCTGCTGTCACATCCGGTTTCACGGCTGGTGCTTCTAGGGGGTGCACAGCTGATCTCAGGGGGTACACGTGCACCTGCGTGCACTCCTTGTGTGTCGCCAGCAAAGGTACTTTGTAATAGAAACAGTTGGCTCAGAATTGTCAACTGAATAATAACATTTTTGGGGACAATTTTTTCATGGAAGAAAGAGCCGAGCTCTGGGGAGCATGAAGATCAGGTGCTTCAGATCCTGCAGTGCCATAGGTGCAGTCTTTTGGTAACTGTAGCCTTTTTGTTCCTTTCCTTCTTCTGTGTACAGTGACAGCTGTTTATACACCATTACCTGAGAGATGAGTTGTCTTCATGGAACTTTGTTTGCAGTATGTTGCTCCTGTTGATTTTCTCCTTTTCTACATCTTCTAGTAAATGGTCAGTGGGGTCCATGGTCTCCATGGTCTGCTTGCACAGTCAGCTGTGGAGGAGGGATCCATGAGAGGTCTCGGCTTTGTAACAGCCCAGAGCCCCAGTATGGAGGAAAACCATGTGTGGGAGATGTCAAGCAACATGATATATGTAATAAGAAAGATTGCCCAATTGGTACGTATGCTTGAATGGTCAGCTATCAGTTGTATGGCCTTCAGTGTTTGTTGTTGTTATCATATATGCCTCTATGATATGGATAGCAGCACTAATGGTTATGATAGGGTCTGCATGTATGAAATCCATTAATTCAGGCCTTGTTTCAGGAAATCATTTAAATATACGCTAACCTGTCATTCACTTAAGAGGTATTTTATGTATATTTTTAAGAATAAGGGCTTTGCTAAATAAGGAAACTGTTCAGATAGCACCTCTAAGTGCTATTAATGTAACTGTTTATAATGGCCATAGAATCAAAAAGGAAATGTTTCCATAGCTACCTGAAAATTCAGAAACTTTTAACTGTGTGCATTCCATCATCTTTATAGGTAATTCAATAAATGAAAGAGATCTTTCTTAAGTAATGTTGATTGCTCCTCCTACACTTCTACTCTTATTTATATTTTAACATGTTTTGACAGACGGGTGTTTATCAAATCCTTGCTTTCCTGGAGCGGAGTGTAACAGTTACCCTGATGGGTCTTGGTCATGTGGGGCTTGTCCTTCTGGATACCTTGGTAATGGAACAGTCTGTGAGGATCTTGATGAGGTATACATATACACGTCATTTCTTTCAGTCAATATGAAATTTTTCCTTGACATTATTAAAAATCCATGTTTGGCAATTATAGTGTCAGCTGATTTGCTTGTTCATTTTATTTCTTTATTTCCTTGCAGTGCATAGCTGTGCCAGATGTGTGCTTTAAGGTCAATCAGGCCCATCGCTGTGTGAATACAAATCCAGGTTTTCATTGCCTGCCATGCCCGCCACGCTACAAGGGAACTCAGCCTTTTGGAGTGGGTCTGGAGGTTGCCAAGACAGAAAAACAGGTAAATGATATAGAAGAGAAGGCATTGTTTAGGCAAATTATGAAAAAGGAAATCTTTCTAAACCATTCTCAGTAAAAAAATGTTTATGAATTAGTATTCCATAAAGTTTGGTGCCAAAAAAATATAGCCCCAACTAGCTACATGCTGATGTGAATTTTTTGGGCCCAGGCTTTGGTCCTGATTCTTCATTGCTTTCACTTTTTGTTGTCATTTATACATGTGTAAAATGTTACCACTTGGGAATAATGGCAGTTTGCTCCCACATTTTGTATGCCTTTTTCATAGATGTAAATGAGAATTGGAGGGACAAAGCAGTGGAAAATCAGGATACCATATTTACTCATATATAAAATGAGACTTTTCCCTTCAATCAGCATGGGAAAAAAGCCCCTTGTCTTATCTTCACATACCAACACTCTGCCATACCTGCCCTCATTAAATACATTAAACTAATGTTAGAAGCAGCATGTGCTCTGTCATGGAAACCAAGTGTGAGGATGACGGAATACAGCTAATGATGAGCATGCTCAAAAACACATGTTGGGCAAACACACTGATGGGAACCTTCTTTAATTTTTTAATTGTTTTGGTCCTTAAAAATTCAGGCAGTTATTCCCGCAGGAGGGAATGACCACTAGGCCTGGAGGTGCAATACCGGGCTGGCACTCGGAGAGGCTGGAGCAAGCTTCAACACCCTCCCATGGTGCCAAAAATGCTTATGGGAACCTTTCGTTTGGGCCTTTAAAAAAAAACAAACAGTGGGTGTTCCTTCCACAGGGAACTGTCAGTAGGCCTGGAGGTGCTGCAATACCAGGCTCTACAGGAAGTCAGTGTATGCATTTTTTCTGTTCCATAATAACTTTATGAGAACTTACAGCACCCACATAAATGTGGCTGTTCTTCAAAATATGTTGAAGTGATACTTTTAATTATTTAATTATTAATGGAACTTGTGGCATTTTTATTATGTGTTATTTGGAACGATGGATTAAAATAAATAAATGGCTCATTGTGTTCAGTAAAATGGTATATATATTTTAGGGTCTTTAGCTATTAGTTAAAATTTAAACAAATGGTCTGATTTTCAAAAGTTCTGGCCACTGAGAAGCAGCTACTACTGGCATGAAGTCTGATCAAGTATGATGTATTTGCACAGGTGTGTGAACCTGAAAATCCATGCAAAGACAAAACACACCAATGCCACAAATCTGCAGAGTGCATCTACCTGGGCCATTTCAGTGACCCTATGTACAAGTGTGAATGTAGAACAGGATATGCTGGTGATGGGCGAATCTGCGGTGAAGATTCTGATTTGGATGGTTGGCCCAATAAAAACCTGGTCTGTGCTGCTAATGCTACCTACCATTGCATCAAGGTAAGTAAGAAGGGTCAATCAAAACATGTTGGTGTCCTAACCACATTTCTTTTTTTGTTAATAAAAACCAAAGGCTATCTCTTTTCAACCATCTGTCAGGTGATAGTTTTTATTCAGCTTTCATATATAAAGATATCTTCCCTTTCTGTGAGACAGTATAGAATGTGCATGTATGAAAGGCCAGATTCAGAAAATTATTCTGGCACTTAACAGTTAGATCCCTAGAATTTAGACCATGTGTGAATTGTCTATGGTTCCAATATAGTAGGGAGAGTTAAATGTCTCAGAATGGCATACAGTACAACCAGCTTGTTGAGAACAGAGCCACGTAAAGCCAGCTTATTAGCATGCATGTGCATAGCCAGCAGTGAAATACTGAGGATAGAGGTGAATCCAGAGTAGTGTCTCCTGGACTGTAGGGAAGCAAAATCCAGTTACCTGGGATCAATAGTCCTAAATGAGCTCCAGAAAGTCAGTGGTTTTTTTTCAATGGATTGAGCAGAGTCCACTCTTTTTTAAAGGAGGTAGAGGTGGGGTTGCCCACCTTTCATATAACAGCCTAGATGCTTGGGCACTCACCTAGGAGTGGGAGACCCAGGTTTAATTCCTTCCTCAGCCTGAGGAGATTCAAACTCACATCTTTTATCTCCCTAATTAGTGCTCTAACTGCCCAGCAATTATATAGGCAAGAAGTTGGCATCCCTTTGCAAATTTGGGCTGCAGCTTGCAATCCAGCCAATGCTGCAGATGGCCATTCCCCTCCTATTGCTCCAGCAACAGTGAGCAGAAGCTGCAGCAAGGAAGAGCAGCTTTCTACATGGGCTGTAGCCTCTAGCTGGAGTGGCCAGAGGCCATTGGCATACTATTAGAAAACCATGGATCAGATCAAACAACTGGGGCATTAGTGTGCCCTTAGTAAAATGCAGACCAGATGGGACCTTTGTAGGTTAGCTTTAATCCCTTTGCAGACAGGATCCAGCCCACAGTCCTAAATTACCAACTTCAGATATAGACTATTCCAGATGGGGAAGACAGTACTCTCCATGCCTCCTTTGGAAGATATTCCACTTTACAAAAAAGAAGTTAAAATGCATTGGCTAAGAGAGAGTGCAAGAGTGAGCTAGTCTGAGCACAATAGAGTATGTGACTGTAGCCTACTGCTTATTCACCTTAGCATGGGAAGACCTGATTTCCAATTCCCACTCCTAGGATGGTTTCTGTATTTTAACCTGTGAGCACTTAATGTAACCTTGGCACCTGAACAGGAATTTTCAGGATTTAAATTCTGGATTTAGGCCCATAATTTAAGGCCAGTTTTTTGGATCTGGCTGATATACCTGAATGGAATCATATATCTCATTATACAGGGCATATCTCAGTATCATAGGCTAACCTATTGCTCTGCTCTATGGTTCATAAGAGAAAAAGAGAGATCTCTCTTGGATCACTTTTCCTGGATCACACAAGGTCAATCTTCTCTTTACAATCTTCTGTTTTGGGAATAGAACTGGAAGAATTTTTTCAGCTGGATATTTGTTTGGCAAAAAATACTATGAAGTTCATTCAGATTCTTCATGAATTCATGTTGTGTCATCACGGTTGGAAAAAAAAAAAGCCTGAAAACAATTTTAAAAATTGGAAACATTTTTGTTGCTAATTTTTTTAAATTAAACATTTCAGTTCTTTTGTTACAAAGCAGTGCTTCATTTTTAAATTAGCCTACAGAAAATTAACAATAAATGTAAATATACCATAAAGGAGCCATTATTTTTTTTGTTTAATTTTTGCTGTTGTTTTGGTTCAACATGAAACATTTAAAAAAATGGCTAGGAACTAAAATTTAAAGAAAATTCACACAACTCTATCTGGTTCTCTTGTGGAGCCCAGTGAAGTCAATGCAGTTATACCTGAAACAAACTTAAGCCAGTGGCTTTACTCTTAGAAAGGGAGTATTAGGGCATGTGTAGATGGAACGGGGGCCCTAAATTGAAGCAATGGGTTTTAAAAAACACTGCTTCAATTTAGGGCAAAGTAAACTGCTGTGTCACATACACCCGTGTTTTACCTGCCTCTCCAGTGGTGGGGAGGGGAAGGCGAGCTGCTGGCGGGCAGAGTGGTCCTTTGGCTGCGGGGGTGGAGGGGGCTGGTGTTTCCCTCTGTGGCAGTGGTGGCCCCCGCCCCCAGGAGGCACCCACCCGCAGGCACCTGGCTTGAGCGCAGCTGCAGAGGGGAGAACCAGGTCCCCATGCAGCTTATGCAGGCAGGCAGGTTCCAGGAGGAAAAAAAAAAGATCAGGCTCACTGCTTTTTTTTTTACCTTTGGTGGAGCCTGCCTTCCCAGGCTGCTGCCAGGCTGCCTGAATGGGCTGCCTGCACAGTCCCTGAGTCGCATGGAGCCTGGTGCTTTGCTCCGCAACTATAGGGCAGCAAACTAAAACTCCTCAGAGATGTTTTAGTTTGTTGTGCCCCAAAGTCATTTAAGGTGCATGACACCGCTGAATGTGCTACAGCAGCTGGAATTAATCGCAATACACCACCGACGCATGCAAACACCAACTTCATTAAATGGTGCAAAAGCATTTAACCCGCTTTAAAGCATTGTGCACACATGCCCCTCATTTAATCTACACACACCCTTAAATATTACTTAAACACAAGTCTGAAATGCTGTACTTTCTCACCCTGGCTGTTATCTACTCAGTGTGGATCTTACCATTTCAGCATTTGGAGTTCATACATTCTTTTTGGTTCCTGTCATCAGAATATGCAACATATTAACTCAAGATGTACACAAAGGATCTGTGTTCATTAAGAATATAACATATTGAACCCATTTAGAGAAAGCTGTTTCCAAAGTCTCAGTCATGTGCATCTATGCTCTATAAGCATATAAGTATGGTGATATGTGTCTATGAAGATATAATCGAGACTAATGCTTTATTTATAATATTTTGAAAGACAGATGTTCTCAAGTACTTACACTCATTAGAAACCATCTTGTAGTTTAATACTTTGTTCAAAAAGAAAAAGCAAAGGCATACTTTCTCTTATAGTGGTCAAAAATGTATCTTACAACTAAAAAAATAACAAATAATTTTAATATAAATTTGCTTTTGATTTTTGGATTAATTCTCAAGATTACATGTATAAATATGTTTTCTTTTCAGAATTTCTGTATCTCAAACTGTCGTATTATCCTAACTATAGTATAGCTGCTGCTTATGCTCAGTCATGTGTCCAGGAGCCATGAAGATATTGTAAATGTCTTTTGCCTTTGATAATCACCCAGAACTTTCTAGTGCTTCTTTGAAAAGCTCAGAAGTATAGGCTTTCTCTTATGATTTCAGCATTTGCCCAAATGACACAGGACATAAATATGAGCATTATGGGGACCGTATTTGTACTGTATTTTGCCAGGTCCAGTTTTGATCCTAGGCTAAAGGGGAATTGTAAAAAAATTAAAAACATCATTGAGAACAATTTATAACTTTTGATGTTTTCACCTAAGAAGTGAGCAGAGTTTTGAGTGGATGTTTGTATTTCCCCTTATCCTCAACTGGAGGCAGAATTCTGATATAATTCCTCAACAAAACACAATACTTAGACAATAGCTGTTAAAATGTTGGCCCATTATATTACTTTTCTGTATTTACAATTTAAGAATTTAATCTGAAAAACTATTTATTTGGAATAACCTTGCTTTACTTGGTTCTGATAAAAATAGTAAGGGATACATTTGTCATCTATTTTCAAAAGCCCTAGGAGTTTAACAAAATGCCACATATTTTTCATACCGTGGTCCCATGTGTATGACTTTGTTGTATTAACTGTGTTATTGATTGCAGAGATCATCCTTCTAGGTTGCATCTTCATTTTTCTGCCAAGGGCAGTCAAAGCTGGTCACTTAGTAATCTTTAGTTATTTCATGAGCTGTCCAGAAAAAACTGACACTACATGTGTGTTTCCTGTTAGATGCTCTCCATTAAAATACACTCAAAAACATCCTCCTAAAAAGAGATTAGGGAAATGGAATGATTTTCACTTGCATTCAATGTATTTTACAGCATGAAAGCTGTGGATGAACTAATATCTTTGGCAACAACAAAACCCCCTTCCCCCCTCCCCACCAAAGAAGAATGCTGCTTTAAAAATGTACTTAATAGAGCTGTGTGAAATTTCAATGGGTGTTTCGTTTTGAAGCTTCCAATCCCAGTGCTCTGGGGGAGGGATGGAAAAACTGCATAAAAAGTTACACGTATCACAAGTTTTGCTTGTCAGCAACTTGATGTGCAGTTTCCCAGAAACCCCTGCACCTATCTCCTTGAAACTTGGCAGGCATCATGGTCTCATCAGGGGCTACCATCCCTGCTGTTTTCATTCACATCAGGAAAGAAATGACAAAGTTATAGGTATTTTTGTGATTCCCCCATTATAGCCTATGGGCGAAATGTCAAAACACGTTGAAACAGCAAAATAGTTTCGACAAAATGAAACGGAACAGTGCTTTGAAGCAGCAAAATGAAACACTGTCCCTTTGAAACGGCAAAACGGAAGTCAAAATGGAACAGTGCTGTTTCGCACAGCCCTAGCTTATGATTGATTTTTACCAGCTATGTCTTTAATAGCCTCTAGTGGGCTTTATCTTCTTCTAACCAATGTCAGTTATAACATGTGACATAACGTAACCTGTGGAACCTCTGACCTGAAGTAAAACTAATGTATTGATTTTTATGGACAGGATAACTGCCCCCTTCTGCCTAACTCTGGACAGGAAGACTTTGATAAGGATGGCAAAGGAGATGCCTGTGATGAAGACGATGACAATGATGGCGTAGAGGATGACAAAGTAAGATTTGTTATTTAATGGCTGTTTGTTAATGTTTAATGAATGTGTCTTCCACTGTGTTATTGTCACTCACTTGTCTGAAACAAAGAAGGGTTTTAAGAATTAGATCCTCAGCTGCATCACAGCCGTTTTGCCTTGTCCCAGTGTCTCTAAATTACACTGAGGAAGGCAGCTTGGAGCAGAGCAGACCAGGACTGAGGGAACTGCATGATGACTGCAGGACACTTTGCTCTTTCAACTTGTCCTGCTGTGGCATCATCTCAGGGTCTGTTTGCATCTCAGGGTCTATTAGCTGAATTTTTGGTTTTATTCAAAAATGACATTTGATTACACATTTTGTACTGGGTTTACTGCCAGCTCTTTCAAAACAAGGACCTCGTATTTTACTTTGGGAGAACATGAAGTACTATATAAAGTATAACTGATTAATACTACTAATTATAAAATGGTCAATGACCAAGGAGAAACAGCAGAAGGGACATATGCCTATGTTCTGTTGTATGCCTTCATGTTTTTATCTGACCCTTAATTTCCTCTTGGAGACTTGTAAAAAATTGACCAAGCTTTTGAATAATCAAAATATTTTGCGTGTGTATTTACAAAAATGTCACTTCAATTATCCGTGTAGGCAAGACAGAACTGAGTATTTTTCTCTCATGAACTCATGGGAGAATTAATTAATGCTTTCATAGAAGCACAGAAAAGTAGGACTGGAAGGAATCTTCAGAGGTCATCTAGTCCAACCTCATGCTAAAAGGCATGATCACCCCTATGTAAACTATCCTATAGAAATATGTTTTATATCAAGTGGCAGAATTTAATGGTATAAAACAAATATTTTGTCTTTTCTTTAGCTTTTTCTTTCATATACAAAATATAATACTAAGGAGGGTGATGTTTTGTCCTAAGGAAGGATGCTTTTTTTTTGCAGACAACGCTACTGCAAGCTGTTCTTCAGTGATCTGTTGTGAGGTTCTGTGAGGCCTGTTTTCTCCATATATGGAAACTGGGCCTGCTTTCCATTTCCTTGCTTATCCATTTGCTGTTTACATGTGTGCAAAACAAGTGTAACCGAGTGCTGTGTTGAGCATGGAAATTTCATTTTGTGGGGGGGTTTTTTGTTGAGATTTTGAAGTTTGAATTTGTTTTAAGTTAGAACAGGAACACCACATGCTGAAGTTCTCTATAAAAGAAAATTCTCAAAAAGAAAAGAAGTCATTTTAGGGTGTTTGAAATATTTCTGTTTTGACAAATCAAAACATTGTTTCATTTTTTAAAAAACTTGCTATGTATTATATTATACAATATACAATCAAAGGATTTGAAATGAAGATTCGTTTCAAAACACAAACAAAACAAGATTATTTCATTCTGAAATATGGACATTTTCCTCCAATTTTCTTCTGGAAAAAAACATTTGGGAAAAATTTCATGGAACATTTTGATTTTGAGGGGCTTGCCTCTTTTAATGCAATATGGTTCTGTTTAAATTTTCTTTAAGCAGCTTTAGTGTAACATGCCTACTATTCTGCTTTAGTAACACTGTACCCACTATTTCCAGGTACAAATAATTATGCAAAGTGCATGGTTAATTAGTTCTAAGTTTATCTGTTGACAGGAATAGTTGTGGATCAGGAATAGATTTTCTGAACATTTTCTGTTTAACTTTCATTTCCATGTAGCTTGACTATGGAAGGCAAAAGTACAATTTGAAAGGGTGAAGCTTCAAATCAAGTAATAATTTATATTAAACTTTTGCTTCTGCCCCTTAGGACAACTGTCCTCTTCTGTTCAACCCACGTCAATTTGATTATGACAAGGATGAAGTTGGTGACCGCTGTGATAACTGTCCTTATGTGCATAATCTTGCCCAGATTGATACAGATAATAATGGCGAGGGTGATGCTTGTGCTGTGGATATTGATGGAGATGGTATGTTCTTACTCTCTAATGCATAGAAGCAACTGTTTCAGAACTAGGTGTTCTTCCAGAACTAAATGTCTTGCTACCAATAGGATGTAGCAGCTGCTTTTATATGTGATAAAAAGCAGCTGATATGTTCCATTCAGAGATGAAAAAGAAACAGAAGAAGAAGATTCATCAATACACATCCTCTGCTGTAATCAAAGGAAACTAGATATATGACATACTCACATGAATGTAATATATTATCTCAGCTAAATATTATAGATATATCACTTTTATCCAGCCCGTGTCAATGCCTTTACCCACATGATCTTTGAAGAGGAGAAGAAATTCTTTAAAACCCCATATACTCTATAATTTCTTTTGTGGGTCCTACAGATGAAAGGATAACAAGAATACTAGGACAATATTGAGGGTATGTGCAGATGTTACACTTTGATCAACATAACTAGGGTTAGGTCGATGTAAGTGCTGATCTTTACAGATGTTTGGAGAGGTTAGGTTGGGCAAAAAATGGACAGCCTGATTTAACGAAAATCTGTACATGTTCGCAGTGCAGCCCTGGGGCTGGGAAAGCCCAGCCACTTACCCCAGCCTTGGGGCTGAACTCTTTCTATCCCTCCAACCTTGACTGGGCTGTTTTTAGCTCCATGATCCTCTGCCCATAGATGGACAACACTCACTGTGAAGCCACCAACCCTGTCTTTTCCCCCACCCCAACAGAACCGATAGGCCCCTTTGATCTTGTTCACCCCTCCCCACACCCCAGCTTACTTAAACTGGGTTCCTGGCATGGCTCCCAGCACTGGCAAACATGGGCACAAGCCAGATCCAATCTACAATCACGCATCTTAAAATAAGATGATTTACAGTTATGTGTCTTACTTTAAATTGCATGAATATGGATTGGGTACTGTGAACATATGCACATAACCTACGAGGATGTTAATTGGATTTCAGCAAAATAGAAGTTGCTCCAGAAAGTCAGCCAATGATCAAATCAGCCTAAACCCATGCATTTTGAAGTTTTGAAATATATTAAATAGTTGCATTTATTTTACGTGTTTCTGAGTGCCTGTTTTGGCCAGAAATGCAAATGAAAGCATAGATATAATTTAGAAAGCCTGTTCTTACAGCATTTCCTGCCTGGTTGAAACCAAGACATATCACAAGTTGTAGAAGGAAATCTGTTCTTATATTTTCCTTCAGTAACATTTCAAACTTTTGGTTACAAATCTTAATTGAAGGAGGCAACTTTTCATTTACTTCCAGGTAACAGCATGCACATGGCAGCTAGAGTGGAGTGGCTGACATGCTATTAAGTTCACAGCCTGGTTTACCTGCTGGAATTATTCTTCTGCCCAGACTATTTGTATGTAAACTGACCATGCTGGATTTTTTATGTTCTTCATTTACACTGATTTGTTTTTTAATCTTCACAGACATTTTTAATGAACGAGATAATTGTCCATATGTCTACAACACAGACCAGCGGGATACAGATGGTGATGGAGTTGGAGATCATTGTGATAACTGTCCATTGATGCACAATCCTGATCAGGTGAATACTAAGTGCAGCTGCTTAATATGGGGAGCGCTTGCAGTTAACATGAAATCTGAAAGCCATCATCTAACTGCTTGTAATCATGCTGACATTAGAATAAAAGAGGCTGAGAGACAAAAAATATTTTAGGAAAGAAAGTAAATGACCATAATTATTTATATTACAATAATGCAGACAGACCTCAACTATTAGTGACACCTCATGATGCTAGGCATTGCACAAAAAATAGTAAAAGAAAATCCTTGCCCCAGTGTCCAGTCTAAAGAAGAGGAGGGGAGACGGTGACAGAGGGGTGCATTAACTTATCTAAGGACCCACAGTAAGCTAACAAGAGATGTAGGAGTGGAGCCCAAGGCTTCTTACACATAGTCCAGTACACTATGCACTAAACTACATATCCTCTATATATGAGCTTACTTTACTGCTTGTTTGGTGGTGGTGAAGGAGATGCAATGCAAACTGGTTGAGAAAGTAGGCAGGAGGGCCTCCCCAGGGTATAATGATTTTCAGCATAGTAAGAATGAAAAATTATATTCTACTATGTTTCTTTTCTATGCAAATTTGATGTTATAAGATAGCAAAATTTCCAGGAAGCTGTGGAAAGACAAAAATTGAGGAATAAAGGAAAAGGCACCCATGGTTTTTGCTTCATAGCAAAAATTTCAATTTGTATTTCCTTTTTCCTCTCTAGACTGACATGGATAATGATCTGGTTGGTGACCAGTGTGACAACAATGAAGATATTGATGAAGATGGTCACCAGAACAACCAAGATAATTGTCCCTATATCCCTAATGCTAACCAGGCTGATCATGATAAGGATGGCAAAGGGGATGCTTGTGATTCTGATGATGACAATGATGGAGTTCCTGATGACAGGGACAATTGTCGTCTCAGGTTCAACCCTGACCAGGAGGACTCTGATGGTAAGAACCAGAAAGTATGGGTCTGTTTCAGTTCTTACAGTACTAATATCTGGGCATGTACAGACCTGTGTTCTGCAAAGGTTTACTGAAGCTATATCCACATCCCCCCCTTTCTATACAAGAAAGTACGCTTCCCAGGTCAAACCAAGCCTAACATTATTGCCCTCCACAGAACTGTTTTTGCTTGCCATAGTGCTGAATTTTGGTCTTCTTTCTTCCTGAAAAAGTCTAAAGTGATAGATAGTCAGAATATATATCATTTTATATTAAAAATACCTTTTTTAGAAAAAAAACCCAAAAATGTTCAGGGATATTAATATCAAATGTTTCATTTGATATTTTCCATTCTTTGTAGAAAAAAACAAAAAGCAAAACTTTTTAGCTATCAAGTACTAGGCTTTTAAAGAGTTAAAAGATTGAAAAATTGAAGCTTTTGCTTCTGCTTTTCTAATTGAAAAATAAGGCTTACCCATAAAAAAATCAGATATGCTTCTGAAATATTCTTTGTGGAAAATACACGTTTGCGATTGCTTGTACTCAAAGTTGTTACCCAATGTGTACCACTAATATGCATTCTAGTTCTACAAACGTGTTTGGCATTTTCCTTTGCTTGTTGCTCTAAATTGTCTTCTAGTATCCTAGGTCATTATTAAGCTACTTTTCAGTTCCTCTCTTGAGGTGTTTGATAATGAGTGGTCAATAGGTTTTAAGAATGGCTTATAAAATCTAAAATATTTTGTTATCTTTTAGGTTAAATTTTTCCCTATACATTTGATATATCTGACTAAAGACCCCCAAAATACAAAGTTATTGATATTTTATGTTTTCAGTTAGTGGAATTCCTTCACATTTATCCTAGTGGAATTGAAAGCAAAATTTAACACACATTTTTGTATAGCCTAGTGCACAGTTCCAGTGAATAAAATCATAGTTACTTTGTTCTGTAAAGTTGGCAGACCTAGCCCCCTGAGAACACTGCTAACTCTGGGCTATGCACGTTTGGTATAGAAGAGCAGTAGAAACTCCTAAACCACCTCTCGTTCCAGGGCTCTAGTGTAAGGGACAAAGCTAAAGCAAAGAGAGCATGACTTGGATGTCCCTGTATCCTGCCAGTATGTGGAATGACCCCTTGGCCCTCAGGCTGTTCTAAGTGGATATCAGGAACATGGTAGTTAAAGGCTAGCCCCAGGATTGGGGTACGATAGTGGATGGTTAAAGCCAGCTTTCATTCCTTCCAGGCTTGGGCTAAGCTACAGAAATCCAAGTCAGAGTATTTGCAAATGTAATCCTATAGTGAATGCCTTGTAGAATATTTTAACAGAGTTAGGCGTGCTCTTTGCTATCATCATCAGTGGCAGAATTATGAGGAATCTTGTTCAATTTCAGTAGAAGGTAAACTATAAATAGAACTGAAATATGTACATGTTGTCTCAAGGATCTGAGCAATAGATGTTTAAGATAGAGACTTGGATAGAGTCTGTGGGTACAGCTGGTATCATTTAAAACAAGCTTTGTTTGGCAGCAGTCGGTACCACTTCATAGTGTATCCAGTGAATAGTTAAAATCTGCCTATGACTCCAAAATTGCTTCTTTGAGATTAGCAAATTGAATAGAACTGAAAATGCATTGCTTTTCTCTTAAGTGTTCAGATAAACACTTAAGAGAATGCACAGCTGGACAGAATTTGGAGTTCTTCTTGGCTCGCTGCCAGACAGCAGAATGTGAAACCATTTTCCCACCAGGCAGAACTGTAGAAAGTCTGTGAGCTGTTATTTCTTTCATTACCACCCTTTGGTCGTTGCCTAAGGTCCATTCTTCTTTCCCACAGAATACTGTGGTGATCAGGCATACTACTTGGATTTTGCATCTGTCTCTGAAACCTTTCTTATAAGTCCCTGTTGATGGTAGCAGAAAAGGTGGATCTCTACTTTTTTTCCAGTGGGCTAATTCCTATGTTCTTACAAATAAAAAGGCTTAGTTGGATAAGAACACAAACAAATCAACAAATACATCCTTGTTATAACCGGGGATCCTGGTTTTCTATGATAAACAACTGCCCACCCCAATTTTCGGATTAAAAAAAGTACCCCCAAATCCATACTTTTCCATGATTAAAATGAAATGCCACTAATATATAGATATATATGTAGTGGTGTTTCATTTTAATTACGGAAAAAATATGGATTTTGGGTTACTTTTTAAATCTGAAAATGTGGGATTTTTTTTAATCAGAGAAAACCAGGATTTCTGGTTATAATCCATTGACTACCATGGAGTTATACCAAGACTGATTTTGACCCTAGTATATTCAAGCACTTCTGGGGTGGAATATGACAACCATTTCTTACCAGCATTGTTTTATACTAATTTGTTGATAGTGAGGCTTATGAAACTGGTTGGAGCAATTTAATGTGTAGGTAAGAAATATGCAGGCTTCATATTCTTTATGTCTAACACCTCTTGACTTACATAAAAAGAAAGAGGGAGGTATAAACTGTTAACAATTTGTGTCTGTGTATGCATTCTGCTTATAGGTGATGGCAGAGGTGATATCTGCAAAGATGACTTTGACAATGACAGCATCCCAGATATTTATGATGTGTGCCCTGAAAATTATGACATCAGTGAAACTGATTTCAGAAAGTTTCAAATGGTCCCCTTGGATCCCAAGGGTACAGCTCAGATTGACCCCAACTGGGTTATTCGCCACCAGGGCAAAGAACTGGTTCAAACTGCCAATTCTGATCCTGGCATAGCTGTAGGTAAGCATTAACACACAAAAGAAAACTGAATTCTTTGAAAAAATGCTGGCTCTGACTTGTACAGATTTATACATGGTGCTAAAATTTGGCACAAATATGGTGCCTTTTATCTTCAAAGCACTTTACAGAAGTTAACTAGTTCTTGCTACAATACCCTATGGGGTAGATAAGTAACTGTAATTTATTCCGCTTTGCAGAGAGGGAAACTGAAGTGAAGAGTTTAAGATGCACAGAGAAAGTCCTTTATTAGAACTCAAAGTTTCTTACAGTAAAGCCTGCGTTTAAGTTGCTAGATGTGTAGAAGATCAAATAAGTGCATTGTCCTGCTTCTCCTTTGAATCCTTCTTCATACAAAAACTTAATATTGCAATGATTGTTGTTTGTTTGTTTATTCACATGAGTACATATATATGAGAATGTGCCTATCTTATGAGAGGGGACTTATTGTGGATTGGCACTGCAATCCAAAGGTGTGATTGCAGTTCATATAGTCTTACCCAATCCAGCTTTAAACTAACTAGCTCAGTTACTGAGAACAGTGTAGGCACACCAGCATGGGGTTCAGCATTAGCTTCAAAACCTGCTTAGGACCTTGAGTGGCTCACCTATGCTGAGCTTTGTGCTGTCATAACCATACTGCTATCTATATCCGAACTAGACAATTTCAAGCAGTTTGGGTCTGTCTGCATGAGCTACAATCATGTCCTTGGATTACAGTGTAGACATATCCTAGAAGACCCTGCCTTGTTGAATCTAGAGTAACAAAGGCTAATAGGTAATGTGATTCCTCTCTCTTAAGGCTCAGTTGGTTTTTAAGATAATGACTGATGAATATATAAACAGGATTATCCAACATGGTTGACTGTGATACCAGGCAATCACAGAAGAGCCTTTCCAATCTTATGTTCCTAAGCCAATAAATGCATGTGCGTATGTGGTTTTAATTATCTTTTTTTCTAGATTCATTTCAGTTTATTGACTATTTTTTGTTAGGCCAGCTTTGAGTCATGCTTTTATAGAACGAATTATTTTACCCAAAAGGGAGAGGATTTGTTTGATGCAAGTAAACCAGGACTGAGGAAGGCTTTGCAGATATGTGTTACATAAGTTGTTTTCCCATCTCCAGACTGGTATAGTGAGAGATACTTATATAGGAATCCTTACAATTTTTTCTGAAGAAAACCATTAAGTCATTTTATTTGGTAGCAGTAGATCAACATATTTACTGAGAGGAAGGGACATAGGAATGAGGATTATGCAGCAATAAAGCTAAAAAAGAGGAGATATTTTCTCATCTTCAGATACATAAGTACCATATAAGCAGTCCATCTGACTTCGTTTTCCCCAACATGAAAAAGGACCGCTAGAAATGTGCCACCCCAGCAGTAGAATTGTTGCAGTCATCTAGTTAAGAACAAGAGGGTGATAGTTTGAGCTCTCAAGCATTCTGCATTTGCATGCATCAAGAAACTGAATACCTTGTATTTCTGCCAGGTTATGATGAGTTCAGCTCCGTTGACTTCAGTGGCACCTTCTACGTTAATACAGACCGTGATGATGATTATGCTGGGTTTGTGTTTGGCTATCAGTCAAGCAGTCGATTTTATGTTTTGATGTGGAAGCAAGTCACCCAGACCTATTGGGAGGACAAGCCCACCAGGGCTTATGGTTATTCTGGCGTGTCACTGAAAGTAGTGAACTCCACGACTGGTGCTGGTGAGCACTTAAGAAATGCTCTCTGGCACACAGGAAATACACCCGGACAGGTAAGAGAATTACCAATGGTAGTGAACAAATGACAAAGTAAAAAGGAGCTCCCCAAAAAATCTGTTATCAAAAAGCAGGTCTGGAGGGAATGAATTTTCTTCGCTATCTTATTTCGTGGATAAATTGCAAATTGTTTTTATAATTATTTTATATGCACATATGTATTTTATTGTGTTTCAAAGTAATGGGCAAAGTATATATATAAAATCAATCCTTCACTGTTGGTCAAGGGAACCTGAAAAATTACTGGAGGGTGGGTCTTCCAGCTTGGAAATCTGATTAGTATTTCATTACTTCTGCAAGCCCTTCAAGGCCTTTTGTTGAGAAAGGTATTTAAATACTCACATTTTGGGCATCCTGTCTTACTGGAATGATAGGAATATATTTGTTTGAATGCACTGAGGCATGTGTGCAGGGATTCAACAGAACTGCATCAGGGCTTTACCCTAACTGTCTTCTATTTTGACAGTTTTGGAAAAAGTATATTATATATAATTATCCAATCCTGTAGAAGTGCTTACTCAAAGATTAGTCTTGTTTTCCTTAGTGAAACTGTTCATGTAGGTCAGGGCTGTCCAACTAGTGGCCTGTGGGTTACACGTAGCCCCTGAAGGGGTTAACCTGCAGGCCCTAGGCTCCCGGTCCAGGTGCTTTACCCCCATCACTCTCCTGCTGGGGTGTCCAGGTTTCCTTTCCCTCCTCCAACTTCCACTTCCTGCCTCATCCCCTGCCATTGGACAGCCCGGAGATAGAAGAAGGTAACACAGTCGGATCTATATGAGGAGGGATGTATGTATTTGTGATCTCAGATAGAGGTTGGCAACCTATGGTCTATGGCCAAGATTTGGCTTATGAAAAGATGTGATTCAGCCTGCAGCAGCTCAGGGAATCAGCAGCACTCTCCAGCCAGAGCAGTAGGGGAGACATCCACAGGATCCTACTGCTTGCCATGATCAGTTTATTTTCTCTGCTGCCCTCTAAAGAGTGCTGCCTCCTCCCTTTTTATATATATTTCCTCCACAGCATCTGCTGACTGCTGGGGGTTTCAGAAATTTGCAGCCTACAGTAGGGGCTGGGGTGCAAGCAATGGCCCACCATGGCAAAAGTTTGCCCAGCCCTTATTTAAGGTCTCTTCTGAAAAAAAAAAAGTTTATGGACTATAAATGGATCCTGTTGCTTGAGGAACATATGATGTATAATTGAAGTTAGCATTTTTTCTGAGGCTTAAGATAGGTGATCAGGACTAAGGGAATGGGACATAGCTCATATTAGCAAATTTTAAAACTATGTTTATTCTGATGCCATGAAGAAAATAGTCTGTAATTGTTTGCCAATTCCTACCGTGCAATTTTTTTTCTAATGAACTGCCTGCAATCCTGCTGTAGGTTCGTACATTGTGGCATGACCCCAAGAACATTGGCTGGAAAGATTATACTGCCTACAGGTGGCATTTGATTCACAGGCCTAAAACAGGTTTAATAAGGTGAGAGGTGTTTCTACACTTAATAATATTCTTATTGCTTAAAATTATGATGGAATGTTTTTAATTTTTTTGTTATCATTACTTCATATGCTGATAATTCCTTCATGACAATTTCTCTCTCTCTTTCTGGAAAAAAAATGTTAGATTTAAAGTAACGTGGCTTTTAGATCCCTTCAGATGTATTTAATTTAATCTGAACTCCTTAGTATTTATATAAATGGAATATTATTAAATAAAGTATATCTCTGCATCTTGCTATATAACTTTTGTAAAATAAACAAGTAAAGGAAAATCCAAAACAATATTCAGGGTAAGATGAAAACTTGAGATTCCCTCTTCCCTGGCTGCTGGAATTTCAATGAAAGAAATTAATTAGGAGCATAAGAATTGCCATAGGGGAAAAGGCCAACGGTCTGTCTAGTTCAGCATCCTGTCACTGATAGTCACTTATACCAGATTCTTTAGAAGATTCTGTAAACACATCTGTACTATACATAATGAGGCAATCTGATGTATTGCATTATGGGGGAAATAGCTTCCTGTCTCCAGCTGTTTGTCTTTTTTATCCTATAATAACTATTTAATTGTATAATACATTTTTACTGGGATACATACGGCCCTTTGCTAGATAGCTTTATATTCAGCAAGACCTACTCACTTTTGTTTTGTTGTTTGAGATGAGTAGTAGATGGGATTTGGGGAGCACACCAATCATTTGTTCTATTAGAAGGGGTAACAGATAATTTGTACGTGTGTTAACATCTCTCATGATTCAAGGTAGAAGCTAGCCATCAGTTCAAAAGGGATAGAAAGAAAATTCCTCTATTGTCAGGTTATTCTACAGTTGTTCACATTCTCTGATGTTTCCTGCACCACCTTCTCAAGTGCCTGGCCACTGTGAGAGACACAACAGTACAGTCTCACAGGCACAGTCTGGGTGGTGTGCTCAGAGCCTGCCTAACACACATTGATGCTACTGAATTCAGCATCTATGATTTAACTGAAAACACATCTGGTGGAAGGCCCACCTTTTGCATAACTTCCTAGTGGTTAGAGCACTTTTCCAAGAAATGGGAGATGCAGTTAATAGGGCTTCCTCCTCCTGAGGTGGTTCTTACTCAAATTTTCCACCTCCCATTAGAGCTTCCTAATCACTGCACTATAGTTTAGGCTGCATTGAGGGTACTTTCCAATTCAATTGTTGAAGTTAGGTCAGCCAGCACTAAGTCAAGAGACACGCAGAAGTCATGGAGCCAAAGGCAGAAGCTATTATTCAAAATGTGAGCACCACCTGTATCTTAAAATAGTGAGTCAGTGGCCTGTGAGCAAAGGATTGACACAGGCACCTAACTCTAGGTGTGGATTCCTAGCTTTGGATTCCAGTCTCAGCTGCCAGCTGCCCTAAGTTAGGCGACTTAGTTCTAAAGAAAGGCAGGATTTTAGACCTGTCCCTCCCCACTTTCAGCATTTCCTGTTGGATGGCTAAGGTTCCCTTCACTTAACTTCTTGAGCTTTTTTAATCCCATTTCTAGGCAGCTAACTGTCTACATTTAAGGTATAGGGAACTGAGGAACTTAACTTGGGTTTGTGGATTCCATGCCCACAGCTACACACCTAAAAGTTAGGCATGGTATCATTTAGTATCCTGGTGCCTGAGTGTGGTTTTTTGGATCTGATGCCTTCTGTGTGTGTAAATGCTCTATTCACTGGGCTACAAGACATGCTAAGGTGTGGTTCTGTCATTGTTTCCTGTTGAAGCAATTCCATTTCTGTAACTAATTAACATTTATTAGCACAGAAACTGATACCTGGGTGCTTCCTCCCTTCTCCTCTTAGCTGAGTGCTGTAACTGTAAGGCCACAGTCATTCTCACACAGTTTCTGACTCAAATGAATATTTAATTAGTTATACAAAGTGGACCAACTTCAACAGGAGACAAGGACAAAACAAGAGCCCAGTGAATCCTATATCCCAATGGTTAGGGTAGTATATAGGATGTAGGAGACCAAAGCACAATCACTGTTCTAAATCTCTCACAGGAAGAATATGAAACAGCTTCTCCCATCTTCTGCATGAATACCCCAAGTAATACAGTAAACTCTGTTTAATTGGCTTATGGGATAATTCAGTACCATTGTTCCGATTGCCTAAGAGTGCTTCCCTTTCCCTTCCCCCTCACTCCCCCCATCCCCACCAAATATCTATTCTTGATAATTGGTCACAGTAGGCATGTCTACATGTGTATTTATGCATGTCTAAACTTAATGGGCCTTTGCTTAAGGTGCATTAAGGCAATTTAGGTGAGCATCTACATGTGGATGTGCTAATGTGTATTAAGGTGCATTAAATTTAGGCGCGAATAGCTAAATCACATTAGCAGATGTGCAGACATGCTAATACACATTAACACGGTGTCTGTTCATTGACTCACACTGTGTTAATGCGCATTAGCATGTCTACACATGTGCTAATGTGACTTAGCTATTTGTGCCTAAATTTGATACCTGCTTTATGCAAGTATCAAATTTAGGCTCACATAGCGCCCTTAAAGTGCCTTCAAAGTGGCAGTGTTAGGCTACGCCTGCTTAAAAGGGGCACATGTAGACACACCCAGTTGGATACATTACAAATATTTGTATTGCCCTTAAAGCAGTGAATTAACCAGAGTTTGTTTTAACATATAGAATGTGTTTGCGGGGAAGGGATGGAGACTTCCTTCTTCATTTTGGGAATTGTGTTCAACTCCCTTTGTGAAACTCCAGGCCAGTTTCCAAAATTCTTTGCTTTTAATAAATAAGCAATTTCATTTTAGCTCAAATTCACTATTTTGTTTGACCCAGAATGAATTCCCATTTATCCCTGCCTCCCCCTGCCTCCCTGCCCCCTCCTTCCACTCCCAATTCATTTTAATTTGGGCACTGAACAAAAAAAATCAAGTTCTCTTACATCTCTAGTATGACTCTAGATGAGTCAGCTAAATTATGTGTCTATGCCACTGGCTAATCTCTGAATGTAAAAGGACATGCAGTTTATCCACATTAAATGAGCAACCTTTCTTGACATAGTTAAGGCTATAGGACTTGGCTGTACTAAATAAAGGACTGAGAAAATATTTGCAGATGATGTGTCACCAGGCAGGTACAAGATACCATAAAAGAATGACCCATATAATTAAATTGTAGTATCCAGGGGTATCTGTGTTGAAATGTAACACCACATTGACTCGTGAACGCTGTTACTACAGCCTTAACCTTGAGATAAGTTATTTAGTTACTATATTAATCTAAAATATATTCTTCTTTACAGAGTTTCTGTGTATGAGGGGAAACAGGTCATGGTTGACTCTGGACCAATATATGATATGACCTTTGCTGGTGGAAGATTAGGCCTTTTTGTCTTCTCTCAAGAAATGGTCTACTTCTCTGACCTCAAATATGAATGCAAAGGTTAGTTACAGAATTACCTGGAACGGGCCAGCGTATGAATATATATGCAGCAGGTCAGAATGACAGTAATGAAATGCATCCTCCAGTTATTGAATAGAATCCTTAGTCTGCCATTCATTATGGAGTAATCTAATCACTTCTTAATTTTCAATAAAAAAGGAAGGAGTTTATCTGTTTGTGTCTTGGAAAAAATGAGAGCTTTAAAAAGGCCAGATTTAAAGCATAGAGCTCCTTGCAGGGTACATCTAGACCCAGCAGCAGTAGTGGGTTGAGCAGGGTTACCATATATCTGCGTTTTCCTGGACGTGTCCTCTTTTTTTGGTCCTTTTATCTCCATCTGGGAGGTTTTCTGAAATATCTGAAAATGCCTGAGATTTTTCTGTGTCTCTGCTTTCCTGGCATTTCCTGGCTTACCCCATCAAGATGCTGCTTGAGGCTGAGGATAGCAGGGGAAGGCTATTGGAGGCTGGGGCATCACATGCCTTTGTGTGGCCTGGCAGCTGCAGGCACGTAACTCTGTGGGGAACAGGGTTTGGAAGGCCAGGGCTGGGGACTGTCCATGTGTGTGTGCACATGTACATGTGTGTGTCTGTGGATTGGTGTGCAAGGGGGATGGGTGGGTGGCAGCATTGGGGCTGCACTAGGGCAGGAAGATACGGGGAGTCTTGGGGGCAACAAGTAGCTGTATGGGCAGCAAGGCTCAAGGGGCAGGGGGCTGTGGGTCAGGAGTGAAGGGCAGTAGCAGGGTGTGGGAGTGGGGGCTGAGGCTTGGGAGTGAGGGGCAGGGCATGGGCATATCACTGCCCCCCCTCCCAATCATACCCCCACCCCCGCCACACACAGGTGTCCTCTTTTTTGAAACTGGAAATATGGTAACCCAAGGGTTGAGTGGCAACAATGGTGGTGGTGGTACAGGGGTCAACACAGCCAACACTTGCTTCTCCTGTCACTGGGGGTCTGTGGCTAGGATTTCTGTTAGCTCTGCTCCCAAATTCGTGTCTTCTTTATATATCCCCACAGTGAAATGGCTCCTCAGTCTGGATGTGGCCTACTGGCACCTTTGACACACCTAATTTAAAACAATGTGTGTTTATCCAGTGTCTACCAGATATTAGATATTATATTAGTGTGTTACAAGCATATGCAGAGTTATGAATATCCCCTCTTTAAGGAGACATTACAGATGCAGCGGATAGCTTGAATGATTATTTTTATGCATTGTGCATCTTCCAGAAATTTTTAAAATATAAAAATCATTTATAGATTATAATTGTATTATATTTTCACATTTATAATTAAACAAACTCAAGACAGGAAAAGGCATATTGTAATATTAGGTTGCTTTCCCTTACTATTTCACATCTACTCTATTCCATATCAAATATGATGGAACACTAATTAATATCTATTTTTCTCTTCTATTTTAGATTTCTAAACAATGGGTGTTACGTTACCAGCAAAGTACTGTAGATGCTGTGCAACCTAGACACCTCAGCACATTCTGGTACTTCCAATTTCTGTCTTTGTGTACCTCCTCTTCCTCTGGCCTTCTGTTCAACCAACCTTATACCTCCTGGCTGCCAGGCATGGCTCAGCCAATCCTAGACCAAAGTGCCTTCTCAGTACTAAGACTCATGGGACCTAAATGTGAGCGTCAAACCCACCACTGAAGCAAAAGCAGATTGATACATTAGGACATTTTTGTAGGGTGAAAACTTAGCAAGACTTGTTTGTTTGTTTATTTTTTAAAAAAAGGAATGACGTTTACATATAAAGTGTAATTACTTGATGTATTTATATATATATGGAGGAAAGGGAGATAATGAATATCATCCATTGTCTTAAAATAAGGAAAAAAGTGTTAAAACCACTTTTTATATGTAGGGTTGACACTTTGCTTGCTCTGATCAGGGCGTGACTTCACTAACACACAGCCTC